GACAGGTCTTTGGAGAGGGACATCATGCTGGGTAGAGTGGAGGGACAGCGCAGGAGGGGAAGACCCTCTATGAGGTGGATTGATTCAGTGACTGGGGAACTCGGGATGGGTTTGTCAGGGACAATGAGATGGCACAGGATAGAGCACGGTTTAGAGCTGTTGTACATAGGGTCGCTATGAGTTGCAAACGACTCGACGGCACATAACAACAACAACAATGTGTCCCCGGGTGCCCTTGGCAGCATGTAGGTTACATATTATTTTTGAATGACATATAACGGGGGCTCTAACCTCACTAGGAGAAAAAAAATCATCTTGCCACTCCCACAGCAATTACTTATATTTGCTAATTACTTGTATAACAAGCAGTCAGGAAATCAAAAGATGAATTGCATCAAGGACCTCTCCAAAGTACTAAAGAACAATGATGTCAGTCTAGAGATTAAGCTGAGAATGATTGAGGCCATGGTCTTTGCAATTAATTGCTATGCTTCAGAGAGCTGGACAATGATTTAGGATGATAGAAGATGAATTGATGTCTTTGAGTTGTGGTGCTGGAGAAGAATACTGAACATTCCATGGACTGCCAGGAGAACGTCAGTCTTGGGGAGCACAAAAAGTTTTTCCTTAGAGGCAAGGATTCTGAAGCTCTGTCTCACATACTTTGGGCACATGGCCAGGAAGGACCAGTACTTGGAGAAGGACATCATGCTCGGATGGGTGGAGGAACAGACAGTGCAGGAGAGGAAAACCCTGGATGACATGGATTGCCACAGTAATTAGGGCAACGGGATCAGTTGTTTCAGAGTCAGTGAACTGGCTCAGGATTGGGCAGGGTTCAGAGTTATACATAGGGTCGCTGTGAGTCTCAGGTGGCTTGATGTGCAACAACATGCACAGAAGTGTTAACTGAAGGGGTTCTTTCTGTAGTCAATTGCCAATAAGACAGACAGATTGCAATGACTGAACCACTTTATTGCAGATCTGGGAGGACAGAGAGAATCTTTTCAAAAACTTCCTCCTCATCTAAAACGAATTAATTACTTTTACACTTGGGTTAGATGTTACAGTTAAACAGCTCATTGTATAGTTTACATATGACTGAGAAAAACATCTTCAAAGAGTCTATATATGCTAATGCTAATTTGATTCTATATAACTGTGGAAAAATGCCTTCACGAAGGAAAATGCTAATTCAATTATATATAACTAAGAAAAACAATTTCAAAGAAGTGAATACTAATCCAGGAAAGATGCATTTCCTTTCCTATTAAACAAATAATTTAAAGTATTTATATAACAAAAGAAAGAAAAAAAGAGTATTAGGGAAAACAACAAGTTTGGCAGGCTGGAAGCAACTGATAGCAGTTTTATAACTATACCATCTGTTTGAACAATATTGAATGTATTAATAATTACCTCTCTTAAGTATTTATTGAATACATTTTGTGTTAGCCTGATAACGAAAAGGTGAGTGGTTTGGCTGGGAAGATGGGTGGAACAGCTGGATTTTGCAAAGCTGTGTTTTCCGGTTTGGGGTGAGACTTGGTTGTGGCAGTTGCTTGCAACTGGGTGTGGGTTGATTGGATTTGGCCTCCTATTGAAAAAGGCATTTGATTTTTTTTTTGTGTGTGTGTGTGTGGAGTTCCTGAATAAACAGGCTTGGAAGCAGGAGTGGCATCCACTTCCAAAGAAAGCTTGTCTCTGGAAACTCTGTGAACTTAAAGAAAAGATGAAAGTTTTGTGTTCAAGACTTTGTTCATAGGGTCGCTATGGGTCATCTACAACTTAAGGGCACTTAACAACAACAACAAGGTTCTCCTAGGGAGAGAGATAGGCAGTCTCCCTCCATGAAGAAATCTGATGGAGGGCCACTGGGAGTAAGAAGTGACAGTACAGTAGCCGGTGGGTAGTGATACTCAGCCAGCACTATGCTAGCTACTGAAGGTATAGAGAACATGGCAAACATGATAATTGTCCTCATTTTTTTTTCTTTATTTTATTTTAATGAAATTTTACAGAGACTTATGCTTTCCAGTCATTCATTGTTGCACTTTTCTCTCTCCCCTCCCCCCAATTCACTCTTCTTGAAAAGTAAAAGAAAAACTCTTTCATTGTTATGCACTCCCTCCCCCCAAGTCCACTCCACTATGCAGCCTTCATTCTGGACTTCTGTAATGACAATAATACCCAATCATACATCCCTTTTAAACAGTTCTCTCCCTCATCTATTTCAATGCAGTATACATCATTCATCCCCTCCTTCTCTGTCTTCCCTCAACCCAGAAGTCAGTCCCGTTTTACAATGGTGGCCCCATACAATATTTGTCCTTTTATGACTGAGATATTTCATTCAGCATAATGTCATCCAGGGTCATCCATTTTGCATAATATTTCATGAATGCCTTGTTTTTCTTTTTCTTTTCTTTTTTTTTACTAATTTCAATGAACATATACAGAGATTTTGTTTTAAATTTCCATTCATTCATTGTTGCACTTTTCTCCCCGCCCACCGCCCCCCCTCCAGTTCACTCTTCTCCTTGAAAAGTAAAAGAAAAATTCCTTCATTGGTATACAATTCCCCCACAAAACCCCCACTCCCACCAAAGGACAAATACTGTACGATGCCATTGTTGTAGAATGAGGCTGACATCATGGTGGGGCTAAGACTGAGAAAAATTGGATAAATTATGTTTACTGCATTGAAGGCGATGAGGGAGAGAATAGTTTAAAAGTAATATATTTTAGGGCATTATGATTATCATAAGAGTCTGAAATGAGAGTTGCAGAGTGGATAATTGTCCTCATTTAAAGTAAGTTATTGTGAAGTAGGAAGACATAACACAAAGGTGTTTAAATGGCATGAAATAAATAAAGCATGATTTACAGAGAGATTTGTAAGGTGGTACCTTTAGATAGGGTGTTTGGAGGAGACCTTACTGAGTGGATACCTCTGAGTGACAAGAAGACACTTGTAGCCATCAAAGGGAAGGGAGAGCAGCAAATTTCTGAGGGTGACTATGTGCTGAAGATTTTTCAGAAAGAGCTATGAGTGGAATTAAGAGTGAAAAAGGAAATGACAAATAAAATTTGTAAAGATGTAAAGAAGAGTTTGGAAGAGATAATGGAATCCAGGTATCATTTTGTTTCTCTTGTGATGCCAGGTGAGGAAAATAAAGCAATTCTTCTTGAACTTGGAGCAGTGGAACCTTTAACTAAACTGCTCACCCATGAAGACCAAATTGTCAGAAAAAATGCTACTGTGATAGTTGGAATCCTGACTTCAAATAGTAAGTATCAACTTTTTAAAATTATAAAATAATCTCATGTAATGCATTACATTTATTTAAAATTTTAAATTTGTGGGACTTGTCATGATTCCATACAAGAAGGAACAGTTTCAAAACATCAAATACATACAAAAATGCCTCTTAAAATTGGTGATGTTCC